GGAAGCAATCTAACACTTTGCTTTGCTCGCGAGCACGTTTTAAGTCTCGATTTAGCTAGTAAAAGCGTAGAATGCCGTTTAAATCTCTAGTTATTTATATACCTCGTTAGCGTCAAAAGTGCCGTAAGTAATCATAAAACCTTCCGATATATTAGCGTAGCTGCTCGATTCGAGCGGCTCGTTTAATAAGCTTACGATAAACTAATCGAATTCTTCCGTAGATATAAGTAGCAAGCTTTCAATCGATGCTACGTATTAAAAGAATTTGCTTTTCGTCACCCTTTTTACGTCCTTAAAAGCTTAGAACTTAGCGACGGATACTTTTTTCTCGTCGGAGGTATAGTTAGTACTTTAGCAACTTAGCTTTTTGCAAACAAAACACTTTTTCTCACCTTTAGTAGCTTTGGCAGCTTTCTTACTTCCGAAGTATTAGCGGTTTTAAATAAAGCATTCGTATTCTTCGTCTAAATCGGAATCAGCTTTTAAAGTGTTATAAAAGCAAGTGTGATCGTGTAGCTCGCTAAAGCTCGCGTAAGCTTTAGCTTTAGCGAAAGGTCGAGAGGTTTTAATTGCAAACGCAATAGCTTTGCGAATATCGGCAACTGCGGCGGTAAAAGTAAAAGCAAAGTTCATTCGTGCAATCGTAGTCTCTAGCACGTTTTTACAAGCTAAATACAACTTACTAGCAAAGCTCCGATCATCTTTCAAACTTAGTCGTAAAAAGCCTTAAATGCTTTTAAGCTCTTTAGCGAGCTTCTTAAAGCACTCGCTAAGCGAAATCCTTAGATTCTTTTTCTTAACCAAATCTAGCGAAATTTCCTTTTAGCGATCGTATTTTGCTTGCCGCCGGTAATCAGTCTCGAAATAATCTTTTATTACAATAGCGTTTGCTTTAAAAGTCGGAAGCTTAGCCTTAATAACGTAATTATAATAAAAGGTTATAGCTTCTTTTATAAGTATAATCGAGAACGCCGTTAAGTAATCGTTAAAAGTCAAATCGTATCGACTTGCTTAGTTAGTAAAAATCCTTAATTAAGTCTTAAAGTTATCGTCGGGTCTTAAATACTTTAGCTCCTTAAGAAAGCTTCGCGCGAATAAGGCTAATTCCTTCGCTCTTAAGTGAAGGTCTGCTGCTTTTAGCTTAAGGAAATCGTCTTTATTATCGTTAAGAGCGCTTAAAGTACCGTACGCAAGCGTGCTTTGCTTAGTTAATAGTCTGATCGGTAAAAGGTTACCGATATAATTGCCGGTAGTCCGTCTTCTTTTAAGGTCTTTAAAAAGCTCATTTCCGAATCCGAAGTCCTTTAAAAGTCCGTTTCCGAATCCTTTTAGTAGTCTAAGAAGGCCGTTCTTACCTCCTCCGTACCCGTAGCCTCGATCTCCTTGCTAATCTCTCCCGTTCTTTCTTCGTCGGTCATCGTCAAGATCGCTAAAGCTATTCGAGTCACCGGCTAAAGCTCTAGCTTAATAATATCCGTACCCTTAAGCACGCTCTTAGCGATTCTTATACCTTTAGTATCCTTCTTATCGATACGTAGCTTGTTAAAAGATCTAAAGAGCTTATTAATACGTCCGAAAGTGCTAGATCCCCTTTTCGGGTTGCTAAGGTTAAGCACGGAAATCTGCACGCTGTTTTTAATAAGAGCTAATTTTATTCGGAATGCTTTTAAGTTTTAGCGGGTCCTCTTTTAGCGTGTAGCTGCTATTGCCTTGCGTATTGTTAAGTCCGATTATATTTTCGAAGCCGTTGTTGTTATTATTCGGTCTTAGCTTTTAAAAAACCCGGTTATAGCTTTTAAGAAAAGGGTTTAAGAGCCGCTAAAGTTATTTTAGCTCTTATATAATTAGCGTATTGCGTAGCGATTAATAAATTAAAAGTATCGAGTACGTTAAAGTGCTTCGCTATAGCCTTTCGTTAAATTGTATAGCGTAAGTTCGTAATTCCGCTATTTGCTTTGCTATAGCTTTTATATTTCGTTTTATATCGCTCTTTTCTTTTAAAAACTCTTCGCGTAACCTCCGAATCTCTTCCTTTTCTTTTCTCTTGCTTAAGGCCTCCTTTTCTTTCCTTTTTAAACTGCGCGAGAGTAGAAGTGATTAAGGTGTAGTATCTTCGTCGTCCGTAAGGTTTTCGGCGGTCTACCTTGAATCGAGACTTAAAAGTGTTGCTTATTGCTCTTTTATTTTCTCGAAAGTCTATTAATGCTGCCGCTCGTCATTCAAGAGCTTGACCATCTTATTAGCGTAGCCCTTTTGCTTTAAAAGGCATTACACGCCTTTAGATAGCAAGTGTTCTTTAAAGCTAATAAAAGTAGCATACTTAAAGCCTCGTTTCGTATTATCTCTCGTCATCGTAAAACTCGTCTAATCTTAGCGTAAGAAAGCGTGCCGGAATAAGCTTTATAAATCGTAATCCCTTAGCCTTTTATACTTCGTATCTAAGAAGTCCTTCACTATTGCTCGAGCCGTAATTTCACTGTCGGGCCTTGCGTATAAAAGCTCGTTTAAGTCAAATAAGATGCTCGATATCTCATCGTCTAGTCCTTCCGAAAGGCTTAAGAGTCTTAAGTATAAGGTTTATTTTAACTGAATAGCTAAAGGTTCCGTAAGTAGTAATAAGACTCGAAGGGTATAATACCTTATTACTTTTTATCGGCTAAACTTCTTACTTAAAAGTCTAGTTGCTCGATCGGCTATAGTTGTTGTCTGTTTGTGTATAGGTCGATCTAAATTGGTTAGGTTGCTATATGTAGCAAGCGCGGCTCTTATAGCGTTGAAGTTGTTATTTTAAAAGTAACTTGGTTCGGAATCACTTTTCCGTAAGAATAAAGAAAATCGATAGTATAGAAAGCGACTTAGTACGGAATCGCTCTTCTGTTATAAAGGAAAAGTATCGTAGTGAAAGGTATCTTCGCTATAGAGTCCTAGCTTCTTTATGATTGATCACTTAGTAATAAATCAACCACTGATTAGTGTTGGATTGCTTTTAAGCGATTAAGAATATATTCGTAACTTCGTAAGGTCGTTAAAGTACTTGCAATTGCAAAACACTCGGTTGATAAGGTATCTGAATTCTATTTGCTCCTTTATGCTCAAAGGAGCTAATTCCTTCTATATGATTAAAAGGAATCACGTGCACTAGCTAGCTAATAGGTCTACTTGTCAAGTTAAGGGTCCCTTGACTGTTGGCATGCTAAGCGAAGCATGCCAAGTGGCCCGTGAACCATGGTTCACGGGTGAGCTTCCCCAACTACTACTACTACTACTACTAGCTAGCTAAGGTCGATATGGATATACCGACAAATCTTTTATCCATAACCAAACCGTCTCAATTGAATCAAGATCGAGCGATAAAGCTGGTTACCTTATCGGCTCGATATTATAAGCTTTTAAAACAGCTAATGTAAATCGAGCAATATGTCTTTTAGCGTTTTCTTACTGAAACTCTAATTCGAGATGATCGTAAAAAATCTATATCGACGATAAGTATAATAATCTTTGAATAACTTCCGAAATTGATCGGTTTCCACTCTTTTTCTTAAAACAAACCTTTCTACTCGACCGAGTTTTCCGCAAATTCCTTTTTAAAACATCCATTCCATTTTTCGTTGATCTCGACGAACTGCTACGGCTGGAAAGAAGTAGTATTGTGGTACTACCTAATCGTACGCTAGGTAATAAGAAAGAAAGACGAAGAGAGGAAGTACTACGTCGCAGGCGTAAGTATTACCCCTCGAGGGTACGAAACAAAGGTTTTTACCAAGGGAAATCGGAGAAGCGTCCTATTAGATCGGAGATATAATAAAAGCGTATCGAATAGGTTTAAATCTTAATTGATAAGTACTATTTTAATGCTGCTTTTTCTTACCTTTCTTTTCAGTTTCATTAGTAAAATCTTGACTATCGATAATGGAATCTTTTAAGGCTTTCGAAGCTCTTAAAGGTCTTAATCTTATTCGAGACGACCGATTAGGTACGTATTTACACGTTATACCCACGGTACAGGCCTAAGTATTACCCCTCGAGGGTGCTTCAAAAGTTTAGTTTCCACTTTAAACCCCCTGGTTTCCCTACCTTCGAAGGGTAATACTTACGCCTGCGACGTGGTATAACGATGCTAGTTTTTTATTATTTCAAATCGTTTTTCAAATTAAATTCACTCTCGATCAAGCAAGATATACTTGACGAGGTCAAATACGTAATAACACTTTAAAAACGTTTTAGACGACCTGTTACACTCGATACATCAACGAAAAGCCGAATGGTCGATTAGGGTTTTAAGTCATTAATTAATCGAGAAACGCCTTGGAATCAGATTCTCGCTTTGATGAATCTAAATTGTAAAGAAAAGGCTATTCGAATAGCTGTAGCTAAAAATAGTTTTGCTCGCCGAATTCAGCAAAGACAACCTCCTGTAACTTTCGACCACGCTACCGATAGATTAACGTGGGCCCTCGAGCACGTTGATCACCGGTAGACCGACGATTTAATAGGATAAAGTATTGTTTATTGACAAGACGTGGGCTCAGCCGAGAAAACATCGGAAAGTCTACCGGTACGTTACTCGTCGAGCTAACGAACGCGAGCACCTTGACTGCGTAGTTCGTGTTACGGTCCTGACAGGCCTTGGCGTAGTTGAGGGATTGGTTAGGGGATTAGTGATTAGTCAGCGGCCCCAGTCCTATCCAGGACTAGACCCACGCTAGCGGCCGGCCCGGGTACAAGACCTTTCCGTCCTCCTGTATTCTAATACGTAGTAGTACGTACTACGTACTACGTATTTTCCACTTTAAACCTCCTGGTTACCCTACCCTCAAGAGGCAATACGGTAAAGGATAACACGGTAAAGGATAACTTCATATACAGTACTACGGTACAGGCCTAAGTACTACTATTACCTATCGAGTATTACGTACTACATACTACGTATAACCGTGCGGTAATGAAGGAAGCTATCGGCAACCGGTTACTTTTGGTCTCAAGCTCTATATTATAGTAACGGATGCGTTACTCCGAACACCAACTTTTATACTTTCGATACTTGCTTGACTTTTTTGACTTGATTGTACTACGTACTACTACTACTACGTACTACGTCGCAGGCGTAAGTATTACCCCATGAGGATAGGGAAACCAGGGGGCTTAAAGTGGAAACTAAACTTTTAAGGCACCCTCGAGGGGTAATACGTACAGTAAGTACTACGTAGTACTACGTATTTAGGCCTGTACCGTGGTAACGAATTAGCTTTCAAATGCCTGACGATGATTCTCGAAACTTGATTTCCTTCTATAAAAAAACCATTTTTGTTTCGAATTGTTTCACGGCTTGCCTTGCAAAAGTTACTGTATTGCTCGTACTTTTTATATTAGCGATAGAAAGTATTGTATCCATACCGAGATTGCCGGGCCACCTCGCACTCATGAGTATATAAGACAAGCAGCTGTTCCTCTTCCTCACTCTCCTTATACACTTCTTTCATTCCCGTGCTCTACAGTGCTTTACAATCTTTCTACAAGCTCAATCCGTCAAAACGATCACCTTCAATCACCAACCCCACCATGCGTTTCAATAACAACCTCTTCTTGCTCGCCTCCTTCCTCGGCGGCGCAACCGCCATGCGCCGAAGCTGCTACCTCGACGGGGACGCACCAACTAACAACGGCGTTTACAAACCTACCGACATCGACACCATACGAGCAATCGCGGCTGACTTTTGCACCGACGACACAACCCTACTCAACCTGAACGACAAAAAACCCCCTTCAGCAGGAAGTGATTACACAGTTCCTTGCACTCAACGGTATCGCGATTGCGCTCGGATCCCGGACACCGAAAACGGGTACTACACGGTCGCCCAAGGGGACACTATTATGAACATTGCGCGGGATTTCTGCCTCGATAGCGGCGAGAAAGTGAGGTCCATGAACCCCGACATGAAGAGCGACACCGTTGTCACCGGCTCGGTCCTCCTCGTTCCGTGCGCTTGGAATTAGCGACCGTGCAGGACATGGGAGGGGGGAGGCGGATTCGCGATTGGCCGTCCTAGGTTCCTCGTTACAAATGGCTGTTGCGAGGCAAAGCCGGAGGAGAGCAGGGTGCACGTGCTACCAGAGGACACTGCACGGACCTTGAGACTTGGCACTGGTGCTTATCTCATGATAACGTCGCCCCGATTCCTAGTTGTAGAGAATACAAGTTCACCTTACCCAACCAACCACATACACACAACATCATGAAAAAGCTTCCTTTGGTGACTTGGTATTGTCACTATCTGTAGTGCTAGCAATAATGGTTAAATATCTTGGTATTACCTTGAAGGGTGGTAGGGGGTCATTTACGTAGCACGTAGTAAAAGGTCCTCTGATCCTCTTTTATAAGAAACGGCCATTGGACCGCTTGAATTAAGTACTACGCTCTTTTCCAGAATAGTTTACCGAGAAGCCCGTCCCATTGAAAGAGATCGTCTTGTGGCCGTCCCATAGCCACCCCCGCCCAGATTTTCAAAACAGGCTTATTAATAAGCTCGTTTTAAAAAAATTGAAATCGTTCGATAACTATTTTAAGAAAGATATAATAGTCAGTGCACTGACTTTGTGACCTGCGGGCTCTCGGTCACAGTCAAGGCAAGCAAGTGTCCTAGGTCAAGCAAGTGTTCCATTTCAATCATTTCAACTTATATTAAAATAACTTAGCAACGAATATTGCTATAACATTTAAAACTAGATGCATAGATCGGCGTAACCGGGATCTTTAAAAGTTGAACTAAATATAAAATCTTTATATTAATCATTTAATAACTAATAAAATAAATAATATTTGATTACCGATTGAAAATGATTGAAAATCAAATATTTTGTATTGAAAATTTTATATTTTTTAATATTAATCGTCTTTTAGATTGAAATATGATATAAAAATTTAATATTTAAAAAACTCTTAATCAAGCGGACTCGTACTATTTGTTTTTTTATTATAACTTTTATAACTATTATTTTATTTAAGTTATAAATATAATCGAAAAGTTGATGTTCTTGAATTTTCGCTAAATTGTCCGAGCTTTTCTCGCTATAACAATTGTAATTTTGCGTAATAAATATTATTTTACTTATTTTAATAATAAAAAAATGTAATATGTTTTATAAATAAAGTATAATTTACTTATTTCGATTCGTATACTTAATTTTTATTGTTGTATCTTTTTTCGTTCTTAACTTATTCTTAATACAAATCGCGATTTTCGATTCCTTTCGATAAAGAATCAAAAACAATTTTTTTTTTACGATTTGCAACTTGAATTACTTGATAATAAAAAAAACTACAATAATAAAATTTGAATGCATTAGTCGGCGGAATCGAGCTCTTTAAAAGTATCAAATTTTTAATATTATAGCTTTATTCGTTATTAAGTTATTTTTAAAACAAGTTGAAATAATTAAAATGGGACACTTGCTTGACCTAAGACACTTGCTTGCCTTGACTGTGACCGAGAGCCCGCAGGTCACAAAGTCAGTGCACTGATTATTAGATAAAAAATTATCTTTTAAACAAAATCGTCTTGATAATAATGTCATAGGTTCGATGCCAAAAGATTTTTCTCGGTATCGCTGCCACGGCTTATATATCAACGTTTTAAAATTTTTTATCATCGGAATCGATCGATTCAGCAAAAGTTAACCCACGCGAGCAGTGCGTCCAGTGCGTGCCCTACGCCTTTTGAAGGGGGTGGTGTGGTAAGAGGTACCTTGGACTAGCAGGTAATAGTGGGCCTTGACGTCGCAACTTTTAGGGCCCTTCCCTAAAGTAAGCGAAAAAATTATGTCTCGCGAAAAAATTATGTCCCGCTTTAACGCTAAAAATCGCGAGGAACGTAGACACTTATATTGCTTATAACATTGCTTATAACGTTGCAATAATATATATATATATATATTTAATAATGTTATTCATTCTCAATTAAGCTACGAAAAAATTATTTCACCGCGTGTCTTTTGAATTGAATTAAGAGATGCTACAAATCGAATCGATATCGAATCTTCTTTCTCTTCAAGCTCTTTTTTAAGCTTTTCTTACTTAATAAGCATCATTTTTGCTAAAGAAGACGAAGGTAAAGTATTTAATCTTTTATCTTCGTCGTCATCGCTAATTTGAATGCAAGATAATAGGTTTTGTTTGATTCGAAAGCGTTTTTCTTTTATAAGGATTTAAAGATCGATTGAATACGAAAAGTCCGCGAATGTAGCAAGATCTTTTTCTTGAACTTTTTTTAACGCAGCTTTTTCGTTTGCAACTGCGTCTCGAAAAGAAATCAAATTAATATTATTAGCTTTTAGTTCTTTTGTTATAGATTGCTTTTCGCGGTCTCGAATAAGGACTTTTCGTTCGAGTAGAATATGTATAAGAATCCTTCGACCTTATTGCTTATACGCTTCGTTCAACTATTTCTTTCGCTTTTTTTCGGCTTTTCGATCAAAAACTCTTTGATTATAACGATCGTTTCGAATTTTAATCGTTATTAACTTGAGTTTAGCGTTCGCTATCTTAAGACTAGCTTCTTGCTTTTTTATCTTTATAGCCTTAACTTTTTCGAATGCTTTAAAAGCTAGTATATTCCTTTTTGTTTGCAAACTCGACTTTCTAATTAGCTTTTTCCGATATGTATCGCGCTAAAGCTTTTAATTTTTATCGAGTTCTGCTTGATCAAAGCTTCTTCGTAACAACTAAGTCTCGGTACTTTATTTCGCGATATCGAAGCGTTAGCGGCTAAGAGAAGAAAAAGCTATTTTGATCTTATCGTTTAAATCGTCGAATTGCTTTACGCAATCTTAAAAAGATTAAGGAGGTCGAAGTAGCGCAAAAAGAGGTAATTCGTTAAGTTGCTTATCGATTGAAAAAGAATATTTATCTTTTTTAAGATCAGACGTTTCTCCGTACTCGAGTATATGCAATCCCGCTTCTTTCTTACTCTTTTTATTATACTCTTTTAATTTGCGTTGAATTTAAGAAAAGCTGATCGGTTATATTCTTGCATCTCGAAAAGCGTGTTTGATATTCCGAGTTATAAAGGTTTGCTCGCGAATTTAAAGAAGGTCTCGTATAAACGATAAGATAATATATTTAGCTTCGAAGCTTCGAATAGCATCTATAATAACACATTGTTGATTATGTTTTTAAGTGCGAAAGCAGCTGATATCGAGAGGTTATAAAAGATGAGTTTAATAAGAAAAGAATTTAATAAGCTATATACGATTTTATTTAGCTAATAAAATGAAATTTAAAGCTTCGTAGCAAAGCTGACTATCAAGTAATAATATCATTTACGATTTATCGGGTCTTTGATCGGTATGCTTAATAAAGTGCTTAAGCTACTTTATAATAATCTTATCGTTCGTATAACCGGATTCGGAAACAATGACAACTTTATATCTAGTCATCTTTTCGGAAAACCAAGACGCTATAATTTGCTTTCCGAGCATAATAATTATTAAAGGAATAGCTTTTCTATCGGCAAGAATAGCTTCGATCATAGTTACGAATAGTCGATTTTCATAGATTCTTGTATACATCTTTTTGATTCCGATAAGTACGATAACTTCTTTTTCGACCGGCATATAAATCCGCGCGCCTTTCTCATTTATATTTGCGATTCTATGCTTATCTTTAAGCTTAATTCCGTAGAACTAGATAGCAAGAATAAGCTCGGTATAGAACTAGTTGGAAAGAGATTTCTCGATATGCATATCGACGCGATAAGATGCGATTAGTTTAGTTCGTATAGCATAGAGTTCTGCTGTATTTCTCAACTAAGATTAAAACTAACGCTAAGAAAGTTTTGGCTTATTTTCTTATATTTTAAAGTAACAAATGCATCGATAAAGCATACGCTTAATAGCTCTTTTCTTTTCTTTAGTTGCTTGATTTGCGGCGTAAATCAAAACAGCTTTATGCTGTACTGCTAATAAAACTATAAGCCTTTTTACTTATAGCGCTTTCCTCTTTTTCAATCGAGCTTGTTTAGTTTGATACTTATTTTATCTTCGCTTTAAAGTATCAAGCTTCTTTATTATATGAATGCGACTCGCAATAAAAGGTGTTTCGGAAAGGTTTTCGAAGAGCTATTCGAATGCTAGCTGTATTCGCTTATGTTGAGAAGCTTTTAAGAGCTTCTAGTATTCAGAATTAAGATCAAGAGGTACAAGAGCGCGCGCGCGTTTTTTGCTCATTTTTATTTAAGTACGTAAGTCAATGTTTGATAGAAAATGTTGTGTTGAAGTGTTGTTGAAGTGTCTACGTTCCTCGCGATTTTTAGCGTTGAAGCGGAACATAATTTTTTCGCGGGACATAATTTTTTCGCCCACTTTAAGGAAGGGCCCTAAAAGTTGCGACGTCAAGGCCCACTATTAATACAATAAAAAAAAAAAAAGGATTATTTGTGTTACGGTAGTGACCGCGCGGGATCACGCAGAGCCACGTGATGACACGCGCAAGGGTTATACGTTACCTCGTGACCCAGGACTCCCGTCTTGGCAGCACCGCTTATAAGTCCTTTTCCTTCGCATGTATTCTCTTCTTCTGCTTCTTTCCTTTTCTTATCTCTCTTTCTCATTACAGAGCGTACTCTTAGGTAGCAATACAATCATACTGCCTTCGACAGCCGTAACAATTTGCTTTACTAACTTACGCTCTCCGGGACGGTTTTAAGCTCAAGGACGGCCATAAGACGGGTCTTAAAAACGCCCGAGAACGGTCCCAAGACGGTTTTTATACTAAAAGACGAGTATTTAAAAACAAAGGACGATTTCATCGAATAAACTAGTTCTATCTTAGCTACGATTTAAAAAAAAAAAAAATTAAATCGTTTGTGTGTGTTTTCAGATTCTATTCAATTTTAAGTATCGGCATAGGGTGATCGATCCACCAGCCGTGCCAACCTAGGTAGGTATTAGAATCATCCTGAAAAGAGATGCTTATCGGATAATCAGCTGACCGTCTAGATGCTCCTGCATTCCCCTTTAAGGCTAGTTAGTATATGATATCCATCCATCCACTCGGAATCTGAACTCAAGCTCATCGGGGGGCTACGATTCTTTACTTGTACGAAGTGCCCCTTACGAACCTCCAGCTCTTTTTCTTTCTTTCTCTTGCGGTAAAAAGAGAGATAAAGAGTTTAGAAAGCCGAAATTGAATCATCGATATGTGACGTCTTTTCGAAAAGATTTTCTTTTACCGGCGATTCCGAACCTTTTTTTTTTTCCGAATATTACGCCGATTACGATTTATACTTAACGAGCATACCGATTGAAAAGATCAAGAGAATTTACGATAGAAAAGGAACGTGTATAAGAGATAGGATAAAAAGGGCTTAGTTCGATTGATCGAAAACACGATACTGCGCTTTCGAAAGAGCGTTTTGCAAATACACCGGCTTTATATAAAAGCTACGAACGCGAGCTTTTTTAGCTTTACGACGAAAGAGAACGATGTTTATATTATACGGATCTAAGCCTTTCGTAAAGCCACACGTATTCGACAGTTATCGAAAGAAAACTCGACGCACAGCATTACAAATTGCTTTTAAAAAGTTTACAAGTGTTCAGCTATTTAACAAGAGGTTTTCTTTAACGTGGTTTTTACTTTCGATTAAATAGTACTTTGTATTTTATTCTTTTACTTAGCACGTCGCCGTACCTTATAAGAAGTCCTTAAGGTCTAAGCATTGCGTTCTGGATACCCGCCCGGCGTTAATAAATACAATAATAACAATAATAACAACAATAACTCAAGCTCATCTTTTTATACTCATTTTACCGGTACTTGACCTTGACCGCGACCTTAACGTAACGCAAGACACGAGCAAGACTACGGTAGAAACTAGGTACCTAGTACTTTGCATAGCTCATTCACTCACCCACCCACTCACCCACTCACTCACTCACTCACTCACTCACCACCTCCTTGCCCTCCCATCCCCCAACCAATGCCCCGCTGCTCGCTCGCTCGCTACTCTACAACCCAATCAAACCGCACCGTCGTCCGGTTTCCAGCGCCACACCCCCACCGCCCGCATGCATGCAGACTGTAAGTACGGACGGTACTTACCTACCTTACCTACCTTACTTACTTACGTACAGCAGTAGTACGTACGTGCTGTAGTATAATGTCAAACGCCGTTCGTCCGATCGAGAGGTCGATCGATCGATCGATCGCAGTGCATAAATAAATAGGTAGGGTAGGTATGTGCTGTACTGTACTGTATGTATGTAGGTGTACCGGTACCGGTACGTACGTACGCATCGATCTGATCTCGTGATGCGAGCACGAGAGCAAAGCAAGCATGTTCCACGTGTGTGCAGTTTGTAGTCTGTAGTCTGTGATTTGTGATTTGTGATTTGTGATCTGTAGTCGTCCGCTCTTTTGGTGTTCTCTACCTACCTAGGTACCTACTTACCCCTCCTTCCCTCTTTGGGTGTTCTCCCTATCACCTTCCCCTCCACCCCCCCTCCCCTCCCACTTGCACAGGACCGGAGGGCTAAGGTGTCGGGATGTGGGATGTCGGGATGTCGGGATGTGGGATGTCGGGATGTCGGGATATCGGGATGTCGGGATGTGGGGGTAGGGCTATTGTTGATACCGATACCGATACCGATACCGATACGGTACCTACCTACCTACCTACGTAGTACCTACTATACCGGTACATATACTTACAGATAGAGTATAAGTAAGTACCTTAGGTACCTCCCTAGGTAGGTAGGGAGGACGCCCTTTCTTTCCCTTTCTTTCCCTTCTATTCACGACCTACCTGTTCACGTCACGTCACGTCACGTCCCGTCCCGTCCTGTGGATACTTATGTATGTATGTGTAATGGATTATGTTATGTTGTGTTGCATCGTGGAACTGGATTAGTACCTATCTGTTAGGTATATTATTATCATCATCATCATCATTACTAGTCAGCGAGCTGAAATGAAATGAAATGCAATGAAATGAGATAAGCTAGCTCAGCTAGCCAAGCTAAGCTAAGCCAGCGACAACAGTAGGTACCTACCTAGGTACCGGTACAGCCATGAAAACGGGCAAAGGGGTGATCGTTACCATACTACCTACCTACACTGTACCGGTACTACAGTTACCTTACCTTACCTTACCTTACCTACCAACCTCCCAACCCAGGATTAGTAGCGGTAGCGCGAGCATGTGATGGTGATGGTGCTTGCGTCCTTCGTTGACGACGACATGAACATCAATATGAACGGGTACGGTATCAATATCAAGATTAAGATCGAAAAGGAACGACAAAAAAAAAAAAAAAAAGGCAGACCGATACCAAAACAGGCGCAGAAGGCAAGCGAGTATAAAGCTATACGTAATTATACATACGAACATACATACATACATACCTTAGCGGAGCAAGCCGGGATTCTAGAACCGTATAGCTAATCGTATAGCAGCCTTAGGCCGTGTAGCGGGCCATGTAGCAGCCTTAAGCCGTGTAGTGATCGTGTAGAAATTTTAAACCGTGTAGAAACCGTTAGCGAAAGCGACCGCATAGACCGCCCTTTAATAACCTTTAACTCCGATATACTAATTCAATTCTGCCGCGCACAGCTGAATATATTTAAACTTCGCGTTCTTAATAAAACTTCAACTATTATAACTATTACAACTATCAAGCGCGTCACCTTTTAACTCTTAACCACCTTATCTTTTTTCACTTTTATCTGCAACGAATACTAATAACGTACTAGTATCGAAAAAGAAAGTGATCCTTTCCTCGGTCTTTTCTCTTTTTGGTCCGTCCTTCGGTCTGCTCACTTGCAAGAACCATTCCTTCGAATGTGGATTGGCCGAATAATAAAGCAAACCAGCCACTCCTCCCCCCCCCCCTCTCTTTTTATTCCTTTTGTTTGCTACGCATACTAATCAATTGTTTATAGTAATAGACGCGCTAGCCTTCAAGCTCCTTCCTTTTCTCTCTCTCCTTTTCCTTTTCCTTCTCCCTCTCCCTTTCCTTTTCCTTTTCCTTTTCTTTCTTTTTCTTCTTAATATAAGTAAGCTAATCTTTAAGTCTTTAGGCTCCTTTTTTTTCTAACCTTACAGTCCGATATCACCAACATCATTTTATAAGCTAGAAGATTACAAAAAGTCTAAAAGAGAACGCTAAGGTAAAGGTGGCAGTCTAGCAAAGGTAGAGGTAGTAATAGATAGCCCTTACTAATTGAATTCAGACTTGCCTTTATTTGGATGTAATAGCTTAGCGCACAGCCACACTAATAGCCCCGCCCGGATTATTCTCTCGGGCGCAGCCCTCGCTTAACTCCTCTTACACGGTCTAAAAATATCTACACGGTTTAAAACTTCTACACGGTTTAAAATCTATCAACCGAGCTGTTTTGAAGGATAATGGCCAACCGTGTAGACCTGCTACACGGTCTGCCTTACGGTTCTAGAATCCCGGCTTGCTCCGCTAAGGTACGTACATACATACACACGTAACGTCGTACCGGTAGCAAGAAAAGTATCCGCTTCGTATGTATACCCACCCAGCCACCCTTTCTCTCTCTCTCTCTC